TTTGTCCGAGACAAAGTTGCTTTGGGACACGTTCGAGTTCTTCACGTCCCATCCGCCTACCAGTTTGCTGATATCTTCACGAAAGGTCTCCCCACTCAACTGTTCCAACAGTTCGTTTCCAGTCTCCACGTTCTCTCCTTTCCCGTTTCGACTGCGGGGGTGTATTAGCGTATATTATTATTATTATTATTATTATTATTATTATTATTATTATTATTATTATTATTATTATTATTATTATTATTATTTATTATAGTTACCTTATACATTAGGTTACCTTGTATATTGGATTACCTTGTGTAGTAGGTTAGGGTTTCCTACATGTAACTATATATATTCTCAATATACGTAAGAGATATCATTCTCTCTTCTCTCCAAATATTCTCCTTCTATCAGTTGTCACTAATAAAATGAACCTAGAGTGACAACTTGAATGTTGTCACTAATAAAATGAATCTAGAGTAACAACTTGAATATTATCACTAGTTAAATGAACCTAGAGTGACAACTTGAATGTTGTCACTCATTCACTACAATTTGTGAAGCATATATGTACACATTTATGTTTTTCCTAAACACCAAACATTAAAAGAAATCCAATATTATAAATATAGAGACACTATTTGAATCAAAAAATTTCCTGTACAAATCAAGATATACAACTTCAAATAAAAATATATAACATTTACCAAAGATTTTTTCCTTACAATATGATTTGTAGAAAAAAAGTACATACATGGTAAACTAGTCTGGTCAGTAGTAAACCTAACTATAATCAGACAAGAACTCCGTAAAATGCAGCAACAGTACAATCGATAGCATTTCTTTCTCTTCCCTGCTTTTTTTTATCAATTGAACCTGCTATTTGTAAATTATATATTTACGCTCGAATATATAATAAATGTACTGTTTAAATAAGATTAATAAAAATAATCAGAATAAGACCACTTTTTGGGTACCGTCACACAATTCTTGTTCCATGGCTTGTAACTGGAGTTTGAGCTCTGTGCTGCCTTTACTAAGCTTGATGTATCTCTCTGTTTATAATCCAAATCTGAAATTAAAAAATATTTTATTTATACGTTACAAAAGATCTAGTACTGTAAAATTTCAGAACAAAACACAACAAAAAACATCCCACGAATGAAAAGGAAGTATATCAATCAATAACCAAATATATAAAATACCATCGACTTAAATCAAATCTGTGAAAACAATAATACAACATGCTCATTTGTAGACAAACTTGGTTCAAATATGTATTTAACTAACACCATCACCACTCAGAGGATACTACTGCTTCAGCCATATATAACTGACATGCAATGCAAGGTCTTAGAATATTGAATTAGAGAGAAATTATTTTCTTACCCCTTCGGCATATGTCCTGTGTTAGTAAGTGTAGTAAGAGTTGATTCAAGCAAGTCTCAAAGTGATGATTTTGGGTCCTATCCTTCGAAATATGCAACTGAAGAAAAAATGTTAGAACACGTATGATTTTTTTCCCCCTAGGTTTTGCTTTCATGATGTTTTTTTTACCAAGTTGTCGGTTGATTATATATGGTCATGTCTGTTACTATCGTTATATCCTTCACCATAGAAATCTTTGGAGCTGGCTCTCCTCTAACCTTCGTGTAAATCTGCAAGTGTGCAATAAAAAGTGGAACTTGAGAAATTAGTTTCTTTTGGGAAAAGAAAAACGATAAAAGGACAATTTTGATGGCATACTTAATATATGACCATTAGCTCTGGTAGGATTTTCCTGAGAAAAATCATACTACTTAACCAAACTTCTACGTATTAATATCACACACGAATATTAGGGAAACAAGGTAAGAGAACACAATCAACAAAAGGACAATTTTGATGGCATACTTAATATAAACAAAGGTTCTCTGAGATTCGTCACCATCCACAAGCTTCAGTGGTTCACCCCTCTTAACAGGTTTTGGACAAAAAAGACAGAGCAAATGGAAATGAGACAACCTCAAATAATAATATAAGGCAATCCAATTGAGCTAAAATGATCTTACATTGCTCAACTGGGATGCAAACGTAAAAATAAAAAAAAAATTAAAAAAAAAAAAGCAAAAACAAGCACTTGTGCTTAGAATTGATGGAAATTGCGGTGGTGAATATATCTATAGAATTAGACCAGTAAAAACTAGATTGACACATTGAGTATTGAATTTGGAGTGGTGAATATATCAAATAAAGAATTACCAAGATATGCATATATACCTATAATTCTTTAACTTGCTTTAATTACTCACCTTGCAGTCTGCTAATGGTGCTCAAAATCTCGCCGACAGAAGATTCTATATGCTCGTTACGTGCTTCTACAACAACCTTTTTCCAAAAAGAAAAAAATGTTTGGAAAATATTTATGAAACTAAGCACCAAACTAATATTTTTGCAATTGATCAAGAAACATGGATAAAGGATATTGCGTAATTCATTATGCTCATCTGATTCATCATCACTATCACCATAATCTAATTCATCATCACCATCTCCATAATCTGATTCATTTTTCTCATTATAATCCTTAATATTTCTATCATTATTTAAATCATCCTCATGAGATTCCCCATGATATACCCACCGAACATAACTTCTCTGTATCCCATATATAGACAAGTGGTATCGAACGACTTCTTGAGTTTGATCGCAAAAATTACTACACTTATAACAAGGACAGGGGATTTTCTCATGCGGTTCTTTATTAGAATATGCAAATTTAATAAACTCTTCGACTCCTTCAAGGAAAAAAATGACCTAACCTACTCAATTCCATCGATTTTTATCCATTGTTAGGAATCTAAAAAGATGACAGCAAATGAATCGAGTTGAATGAAGAAACTAAACCTGAAAATTTAGAGAATTCCAATTTAGAGAATTGTTAGGAGAATTCCACTAATAGTGTTGGAAAATATAACTCATCACAATTCCAATTTATCAAATATAAAATTATACAAGATATGCATATAGACATACCTTAAATTCTCGAACTTGCTTTTGTTGTTCAGCTTGCAATCTTCCAATGGTGCTCAGAAATTTTAACAAGTAAGTAAATGTCAAAATACCTCAAAGACAAGAGGCTGAACAAATGCCAATCAACTTCTGCAAGATGATACTTCTTACCCTCTCTACTAATGAGGAAGATAACTAAATATCAGGAAAAGTCGAAACATGATTATCCCTATTTATTTTTTAGAATTAACTCGGATAATAGGAGCTATCAAATCACATGTTAGATGCGTAATGATGACTTGGTCCTCTTATAAGCATGGGGAATATAGCTTCAACACATAACCTTACTTCTCTACCCAAACATTCAAACTACATATCTACAAAACACCTTGTACAATTTCAAAAAACGAGGGAGAATCAAACAACGAGAACTATAGAGACGGAGAATCAAACAACGAGAACTTCAGAAATTTCAAAAAAATTGAAAAGGGAAGAGAAATTTCTGCAAAACTGAAACCTAATTGAGGGAAGAGAAATCTCTGCAAAACTGAAACCTCATTGAGGACTATACCTCGAGCAAAGTATGAATCTTCGAGTGAAAAAAAAGAACAAAAAATTCTTCTTCATCAATGAGATGCGCCGATTGGAACTATACCTCGAGCAAACATTACTTTAGCTGAATGATGCGAGACAAAATGCAAAATTGAAGTCATTATGTGTTTTCTCCTTCATATCAAACATTAGCAAAGGTGACAAAATGCAATAATTATTGTCTTTGACTAATTCTCATAAGGGGAATTTTTGCTAATTTTTTTAAGGTTTTTTCGGCCATTGGAGATTACACATAGGTGATTTTTACAAAATTTCCCAAATTAAACTATACTGGTGCGGAAAACAGTATGAAACAATTTAAAAAATAATTTAATATTATTACTTATTGATCAACGTCAAATTACATGAACACATGGGATGCTAATAATACACCCACGAAAAAAACAGAATTTAAAACATGACTACGAAACTAGCAGACAACTATTAATAAATCTGAATTTGTCTTCACCGGTATCCTAATCAAACCCTGCCAAATAAATTGTTTCTACGTTCATCAATTACAGGCTGACGTGCGCATCGCGACGGCTTTACATAGTGGACAAAAATTCTTCACACGCAACCATCGTTTGATGCAGGATACATGATACTCGTGCCCGCATCCGAGGATTCCAACACCTGTCTCGTCTTTCTGGTGACACATACCATCCAAGCAAATCGCGCAAACTTCCGTTTCTTCCTCTTCGTCTCCTTTATTATCGAGAATATCCGGACATAAAATCTTTTTCTTCAGACACATGTTAATATCTTCCTCGGACAAACCACTGGCATTATTATTAGTACGATCTTCTCCAAGGTGAGTTTCCCCATACGCCGGGTAAAAGACATAACCTGGCCAGTTCTCAGATCGAGCATTAGCAAAATTATGCGGGCAGACATGACTTCTTCGATCGATCTTTAATCAGAGATGGGTGAGAGAGAAAAATATTGGAATTTGTAAGCAGAGATTGTGATGTATGGGTTATGTTATGTGGTTACTGGTGTTTATATAGAGTTTAATAATGTGATAAGCAGACTATCTCTCTAATTCCCTTATTTTTGGTGGTTATACTTACCATATAATGTGACCGTGTAGATTTAGAACATCTAATCCTATTTGGACTTCAATCCTTGGAGTTGATTAACGTTCAATTTGTTAGATGCTTTGCTCGTTTTTTGTCCATAAATAAATTATTATTATTATTATTATTATTATTATTATTATTATTATTATTATTATTATTATTCTAAAAAATGAGGATTGAAGTCCGAATAGGATTAGATGTTCCATGTCTACATGGATTAGAGAGATAGTCTGCTTATCACATTATTAAACTCTATATATACACCACATAACATAACCCATACTTCACAATTTCTGCTTATCAATCCAAACTTTTTCTCGTGAAATCCTGAGGATTCAGAGAGAGAATTATCAGATGGCTATGGCGAGGGTAAATTTCTATTTGGATCCGAATCCGAAACTGGGTACGGGTATGGGTGTGGATTCAATTCCGATGGTTGTTGGTTGGTACGACGTTAACATTCCGTCAACGGCGACGAACAAGGAAATAAAAATGGCTCATTGCGAGGAGGAAATAAAAATGGCTCATTGCGAGCTGTGCGTGAACGCGGAGAAGTACGGGTACACGGCGTCGTTTCATCTCTGCGTTAACGACCCGGTTGTCAAGCCGTTTGCATTTGTTGAACGGTCAACATATTAATATTACTCTATTACACAATAATAATGAGTTTTGTTGTGTTAAAATTACTGTGCTAGAGATTAATGTAGCAATATTACTATGTTAAACTGTAGTATAGTTAATTTTACTATGTTTAACAGTATATAGTTAATATTACTGTCAATCACAACAATATTGCTATTTTAACTAAAAAAAAGATGTTACAGAAAGAAAGAAGGTGAAAAAAAATTCGAAAAAGTTAACGCAGGAAAGCGGTGGCGGAAAAATCAGGAAGAAAAAAAAAGAGTCAACGGCTGAGACCGGCAGTCAACGGTGTGACGGACGAAATTGTCCATAAAAATGTGTTTTGGGTCAAAATTGAATAATTTGTGAATTTATGGGTCAAATTGAGGTTAGATTAAATTAAATGATGAAATTGGAGCATATTAAATAATGAGGCGCTATTATAGTTATTTACAAACATCTGGACCATGTTTGAACTTTTTTGTAAATGAGTTTATTGTCTGGATCTTTTTATGAATAAGTACCCATTGATGGACTTATTTGTAAAATCCCAAAATAATAACTTGGATCTCCACTCATATAAGTTTAGAATAAGGGGTGTTCTACCCAATTTTACATTAATCAACTCCAAATATTTGAAAACGATGGTCACGTCTACCAAAAATAAGGGAATTAGAAGAGATACTCTTATCACATTATTAAACTCTATATATACACGACATAACATAACCCATACATCACAATCTCTGCTTATCAGTCCAAAGTTTTTCTCTCTCTACATAACCGTGTGATTAAAGATCGATCGAAGAAGTCATGTCTGCCTCCATAATTTTGCTTATGCTCGATCTGGTAACTGGCCAGGTTACGTTTCTTACCCCGGCGAACGGGGAAACTCACCTAGGAGAAGATCGTACTAATAATAATGGCGGAGGTTTGTCCGAAGAAGATATTGACAAGTGTTTGAAGACAAAGATTTTGTGTCCGGATATTCTCGATAATAAAGGAGACGAGGAGGAGGAAACTGAAGTTTGCGCGATTTGCTTGGATGATATGTGTCACGAGAAAGACGAGACAGGTGTTGGAGTCCTCGGATGCGGGCACGAGTATCATGTATCCTGCATCAAACGATGGTTGGTCGTAAAGAATTTTTGTCCACTTTGTAAAGCCGTCGCGATGCCCACGTCAGCCTGTAATTGATATACAGAGAAACAATTTATTTGATAGGGTTTGGTTAGGGGAAGACAAATTCAGATTTGTTAATTGCCAGTGAATTTTTTCCTGCTAGTTTCGTAATTTGATTAGGTATTTAGCATATATCTCATGTGTTTATGTAATTTGATGTTGATCAATAATTAATATTAACGTATATTTTTAATTATTTCCTATTGTTTTTGGCACCATAGTTTATCTTGATAAATTATAATTAAAAGAAGAACATTATTTCCGAAAGGTACAAAATTGTTTGAAGTAAGATTCTTGAGAGCCATGGATGTACAGTAGATAATATTGGAGAACAAGACGACTACATATATTGGACCTCAAAAAATCATCTTTTCATGTCCGATTAACTTGGATTAATTGAACCAAATTGAATATATTTTACTGTCTCCGACCTTGACTTTTTTTTTTTTTGTTTTTCAATAACTTTTTTTTCTTTAAAAAATATTTTAATTAATATTACTATCTTGACTGCTAAATTACTGTCTCGGACAGTAATATTATGAATTTTACTTATTACTTTCCCTAACAGTAATATTTTGGTCGGAGACAGTAATATTACGATCGAAGACGGCACCAAGACGATAAAATTAATTAATACGGTAAAATTATTGTCTCAGATAGTTAAACTACTGTTTTCGATAGTTAAATTACTGGTTGAGATAGTAATTTAGCAGCCAATACAATAATAATATTAATTAAAAAAAATAACGCCCAGAGACCCGGCGGTCAATGGCGGTTGACCTACCGAAAAAAAAAAGTCAACGGCGGCTGACCGGCGGTCTCCGGCGGTGGCGGGTCAAAATTGGGCTAAAAAAAGTTTTCAAAAACAAGAATAGAAAAAGTCAATGCCGGAGAACCGCTCGGGCACGCCGGAATCTGGTCGGGAAAAAGATTTAGATAAAAAAAATTCTGAAAAAAATTATATTTTAAAAAAAAATTATGAAAGTGGGGGTTAATGTGATATATTTGTTTAATTCCGAGGTCAATGTGTAATATTGAGGAAGTTATAGTGTAATGGATGGAATTAATAAAAAATAGGGAAAATGTGGGATAACCCCCTAATTTTGAAAAGAGTAAAAAGCAGTTTGGCCACTAAATTAAGGGCCGTTTTGCACTTTGCCCCCCCAAACAAAAAAATTTGCACGTTTTTACCTGAACTCGTTTATTCATTGCACGGTTCCCCCTGAACTAAATTTTCCGGTAATTTTGACCGGAATTCTAAAACATGTGCAGTGCACGTGAGATTTGCGAGGATAAATTTGTTCATTCACATATATCCTATATATTAAATATAAATTAATAGTTTAAATAAAATAAATAAATAAATAATAAAAAAAAAAAAAAAAAAAAAACAAAACCAAGAGAAGCTGTAACTCACCAGCCTCCCAAACCCAAGCCATCCCCAAGCCCAGCCAAAAGACATCTCAACTCAAATTTCAAAAAATCAACTCAAAGCTCAAAACCTCATTTTCTTCCTTAATCTTTCTTGTTTTTGTTCTTATTATGTTTCTCCTTTTTCATTCTTATTCAGCTCAGACTGTAGGTTTAAACAAATAAATAATGTATGAAAGCAGCAGTAATTCTCGGGGTGGTTTAATTGTTGTGGCGATTGGTAGCATTTTTTGTGGAGGATAAAGTTGCAGGGTTTGCCGGCGGAGGTGGCATCGGCGTCAGCGTCGAGTTTGCCGGCGGAGAACGGCGAGCAGTGTTAATGGTCAAAGGAAATTCCAAATTGTCATTCCAAAAATTTCCAAATTTAGTTCAAATAAAATTTAGCTTCCATCTTTGAGTTGGTGGTGAAAAGTCACTCGGAGCAGGTGTTAAGTGTATATTTATACACTTAATTGTACCTTTTAATTGGAACTTTTGGTATGTTTTAACGATAATTGGTGCTTAAAATGGTTATTATTTGTATTTTAGGTGCAAATTGAAGAATTGGCAACTTGTGGGGTGAAAACTGCAAATTCGGAGAAAAAGTGGGCCAAAAGTGAAAATGTCGAAATTCTGGAGAATTAAGGACCGGACGGCCGTCCGGATTTTAAAGCGTATTCTCGCACGGCTGTCCGGATTGGCGAGGTGGCGCAGTGAAGGAAGTTTAATTACACAAGGAAACCCGCCCTATTATATTTTTGCACCCTATTTAAAGGCCAAAAGCACACAATTAGATCTATCTTTTATCTTTAGTTTTTATCTTTCATCTTTCTACACGCAATCAAGGAGCACAAGAACGAAGACAAAGACTTGACGACTCTTCATCATAGTTCTCCTCTTTTATTAGCTTTTATGATTTTTCGTATTTTTATTATGCTTTTCGTAGAAAACATGAGTAGCTAAGTTTTTATTCTAGGATTTTATTGGAACCCTATGTGGTAATTCGAACCTATTTTTCTACTTTTATGCAAGTTTAATTATTCGATTATTTCTTCTATCTTGATCTTATTTAGCGCATGAACGTAGCTAATTTATGTTGTTATTTGTTATTGTTAGAATTGATTGACATATCGTTTTAATAATTAGAACAGGGATAGAAGAGTGTTGAGTGTAGATATTACACTCAATACGTTTACTTTACGTTGATCTTTTGTTTAGATTTAATTATATTTGTGCTTTAATTGATTGATTTTGTGTTTTATAGGTGAAAAACGAGAAGTAGATGTCCATGAAGGAAAAAAGATCAAAAAGAAAGGAAAAAATTGCATATAAGGAAACAAATCAAATTGGAAGAAGGAATCTCGCCACAGCTTTGACAGTGTCCACCATTTCGAGGATATCTCTCTCATACGAACTCCGAATTAGGTGATTTTGACGGCATTGGAAAGCTAATTGCAAGCGCTACAATTCTTAGTTACATAACATTCCAAAATTCGGACTCCAACATGGCACAAATCGACGAACAAATCCTGATGGGGGAAAATGACGGAAATTGATTCCTATTAGGTTTCCACTACTTCCTTATCAAGAAAAGCCTATAAAAGCAACAAGTCTCTACACCATAAGCACGAAATTTTACACCACAAAACACGAAGAACGAAGATCAACGAAGACTCAAGCATAGTTTTTCTTATTTATTTTATTTATTCTATTTTGCTTATCATAAGAATTACGAGTAGCTAAGTTTTTAATCTAGGATTTTGTTGGAACCCTATGTGGGGATGGTGACCCTTTTTCTTGAGATTATGCAATTATGATTTTATGATTATTTCTTCTACTTGTTATGATTGTTAGTGCATGAACTTGATCAATTTATGTGCTTTATCTGTGATTATTGGGATTGACTCGACATAGCCATTTTGATAATTAGACGGTAAGTAAAAGAACCTTCGAGTAGTTTTCACCGGATGAGTGTGTTAATTGCATGTGGTATCGTAGACATACAGATATTCACCTTAGGTAATCATTGTTGGGACTTATTCTTTAATGCTTTATTCATGATCGGATTGCATAGACATATAGTAATTTGGTTTTGGATAATAGAATTATAATACACGCGACAACGGGTTATAATTAATATAGTGTCTCAGGTTAATAATCATGAATCATATATTTCATAATTGAGGGGTTTTAGGTGAACAATTCTTGCATAGGGGGAAGATAAAATCATATGTCCTTTTTTATTGATATTTTCTCGTATTTATTTGCTTTCTTAATTAGTTTAATTTATTTAGTTGATTAAATTTGACAACTTTGCGTAGGCTGGATAAAAATCATAATTATTAGGATTTGGTACTTAGGATTAGATAATTTGAGTATTCCCTGTGGGATCGACATCCGACTCTCACGAGTCCACTTTTACTACTTGTTTGCGATACGTGCACTTGCGTGTTAGGTATTTAGCACCCAACAAGTTTTTGGCGCCGTTGCCGAGGAATACGGCTAAATTATCTATTTATTCTAATATCAAATTTGAGCAATTTTTCTTACTTCAGCCATTTAATTTTTATTTTTATTTTTATTTTTAATTTTTATTTTTTGTTGTTTTTGTTTCATGTCTGATTACAATGTTCGGGCACCTCAAACGGGATATGAATGGCTTCCATCTGACGAATACCTCCAAAACACCTATGATATGCCTCCGTTTTGTTCCGCATGTGGTGGAAATCATTATTCCGATCAATGTTGGGGATCACCAAAAGCGACAAATTTCGTCGAAATTACCAACGGAGGTTATTGGAACACTTACACCAACACATACGAGCAAAGCTTTCAAGACCAAGATTTGAACGAGTTTCAACATAGAGAGCCACAATTTGATGATTTTCAAAATTTTTATCCAATGCAGCAGCAGCAGACCACTGATGAACAAGTTGATTTGGTATCCCTCATTGCCGAATTCATGAAGTCCACTCAAGCATCATTTCAAAACATGGAGATACAACAGGAAGAGATGACGCTCAAATTAAAATCTGAATCTCTTGAAAATATTCCAGACGAAATCGGCAATGGTTATATCAAAGAAAATTCGGGTGAAGCCTGCAGTGAGAAAAATCTTCTATGTCGGGAAAATAGTGTCGATGTGAGAGAAATAGAAATTACGAAGACACTTGAGCATGATGAATCTGAGAAGGCAATCGAGCTTAACCACGAAGATGCCTCAGAACAAGAGAAGAAGAAGATGGATGTAATGATTGAAGATATTCTAGTTGTGGGCTCTGTCGTTGATCTAAATGTGGATTTGAATGCATCAATAGTGGTTGATGAGAAGACTAATATTTTTGAGGTGGAGGTTATACGCAGACTGGAGATTTTTGTATACCGATTTGAGGGAGCGGGTGATGAAGATCCCATCTTGGCTTCGTACCGATTGATTACAACCAAAAAAGACTACAAGCTAAGGTGGACCATGACATATTGCAGTGCTATCCATGCCTTGGTTGCAATTGAAGTGATAGAGCTCATGGATGGATGCGCAATCTACAAGGCTTTGGATTGGACATAACAATTTCAAGAAGCAAAGTCTGGGTGAAGACTTAAAATTTAGCGCTTCTCGGGAGGCAACCCGAGCTTTACTGTTTTTCATATTTTACTTTAAATTTTATGTTTTATTTTTATTTTCATAGGCATGCATTCTAATTAATTGATTTGATTTATTATTTTTAAGGTCGGAATTGCGATCGGGAAAGTCATCCGAGAGACATAGAGGGCATCTTCGTAAGAGGAAAATCAGATTTCTTTCCCACAAATTCTCACACCCCGAAGACAACAATTCCGACTAAATCAGGTGTTTTCTAACCTTAAACTTTGTGCTAATTTCGTTGAGGGCAATGAAAATTTTAAGTTTGGGGGTGAAAAAAACATGTTTTTTTTTTTTGTGCTTATTTGTTTTAGTTTGCATGCATTAGGTTTTATTTATTTTTATTGCTTTTATCGTTTTTTCGGAATAAAAAAAATAATAACAAAAAAACAATTGCTTGAGCCGAATGCATCGATGAGTTATAATGATGAGAGATGATCAATGTTTAATGATGAGATTGTTTGTTTTGCGTGATAAGGATTAGATGTTTGTTTAGCTTTCGATTCAACGGAACTTAGAAACGAATTATTGCTAGGAATCACACTTTGTGCATTGCTTTGGTTGAATGTTTTGTATTTTAAATTTGGAGTTAATTTGTGTTAGATCATGCTATGTTCGGTTTTAGACCTCACCTTAGGAAATTTATAATACAAAGTATTGAGTAGTGAGTGATTTGGGATATGATTTGGGCCTTCTTTGAACCGTTTGAGCCTTTCAAGCCGACCTTTTTATCGAAATTATCATTAGAACCTTGATTTGAGCCTCGGAGAAAAGGTGTTCTTTCTTTTAGCCAAAGTGTATAAGGTAGAAAAGTGGAGATTTTTGAAAAATTAACCCTTGGAGTTCGGTCGAAAAATTTTATAAGGTCCTTCTTCTTCGAAAAAAAAAAGACAAATATATATGCTTCTATATATATAAAAAAAAAAGAAAAAAAAAAAGAAAGAAAAAAAAAGAAAAAGAAAAGAGAAAAAGAACTAGAAGAGACTAGAAGGGAGAAGTAAGGACTAGTTGTTGAATTGTTTTGAAAGCTCGATCCATTGTCTTAAGAGCAAAAGTGGAGACTTTTGAACTCTTAAGAATCGAGTTTCTTAAAGTCCTTAGAGGTGAATTCATTGTTTCAAACGCCTATCTTTCAAATTTTGGCGTAATCACCTCAATTCAAGAAGAATAGCCACATATACCTATATTTCCTACCTCGAACCAAATAGCCTAACAATTGAAAGCCAAAAAGCCCCAATGATCCCAATAGCTTAATGTTCGATATTAGTAGAGTAGAATATTTTGGTGAGTATTTGGAGTCAAACATATACATGTAAGCATAACTTTTTTCTATCTTTAATTTACAAATATTGGATGCTTGAAACAATTGCATGATTTGTGGTTTTTGGCTATGGTAAGTGACTAAGTGCTTTTGAATTTTTAGCTTGCGAATGCCTAAGAATTTTCATTATAATTACAAGTTCTGAAAACGTGAAGTTGGTCATTAATCTATAGGATGAGATGCGGTAGTTGAGTTTTTTCTTACGATTAGATTTTGCTTGAGGACAAGCAAAAGTTCAAGTTTGGGGGTGTGTTGAGTGTAGATATTACACTCAATACGTTTACTTTACGTTGATCTTTTGTTTAGATTTAATTATATTTGTGCTTTAATTGATTGATTTTGTGTTTTATAGGTGAAAAACGAGAAGTAGATGTCCATGAAGGAAAAAAGATCAAAAAGAAAGGAAAAAATTGCATATAAGGAAACAAATCAAATTGGAAGAAGGAATCTCGCCACAGCTTTGACAGTGTCCACCATTTCGAGGATATCTCTCTCATACGAACTCCGAATTAGGTGATTTTGACGGCATTGGAAAGCTAATTGCAAGGGCTACAATTCTTAGTTACATAACATTCCAAAATTCGGACTCCAACATGGCACAAATCGACGAACAAATCCTGATGGGGGAAAGTGGCGGAAATTGATTCCTATTAGGTTTCCACTACTTCCTTATCAAGAAAAGACTATAAAAGCAACAAGTCTCTACACCATAAGCACGAAATTTTACACCACAAAACACGAAGAACGAAGATCGACGAAGACTCAAGCATAGTTTTTCTTATTTATTTTATTTATTCTATTTTGCTTATCATAAGAATTACGAGTAGCTAAGTTTTTAATCTAGGATTTTGTTGGAACCCTATGTGGGGATGGTGAACCCGTTTTCTTGAGATTATGAAATTATGATTTTATGATTATTTCTTCTACTTGTTATGATTGTTAGTGCATGAACTTGATCAATTTATGTGTTTTATCTGTGATTATTGGGATTGACTCGACATAGCCATTTTGATAATTAGACGGTAAGTAAAAGAACCTTCGAGTAGTTTTCACCGGATGAGTGTGTTAATTGCATGTGGTATCGTAGACATACATATATTCACCTTAGGTAATCATTGTTGGGACTTATTCTTTAATGCTTTATTCATGATCGGATTGCATAGACATATAGTAATTTGGTTTTGGATAATAGAATTATAATACACGCGACAGCGGGTTATAATTAATATAGTGTCTCAGGTTAATAATCATGAATCATATATTTCATAATTGAGGGGTTTTGGGTGAACAATTCTTGCATAGGGGGAAGATAAAATCCTATGTCTTTTTTTGTTGATATTTTCTCGTATTTATTTGCTTTCTTAATTAGTTTAATTTATTTAGTTGATTAAATTTGACAACTTTGCATAGGCTGGATAAAAATCATAATTGTTAGGATTTGGTACTTAGGATTAGATAATTTAAGTATTCCCTGTGGGATCGACATCCGACTCTCACGAGTCCACTTTTACTACTTGTTTGCGATACGTGCACTAGCGTGTTAGGTATTTAGCCCCAACAAAGAGCCTTCGAGTAGTTTTCACCGGATGAGTGTGTTAATTGCATGTATTATCGTAGACATATAGATAATACCTTAGGTTTTACGAGACTTGTTATTTAATGCTTTATTTAAACTAGGTTTGCATAGACATATAGTGAATCTTTTATGAATAATAGGCTTATAATACAGCGACAGCTGGTTATGAGTAATTTCGTGTCTTGGGTTAATAATCGGGAATCGTAACTTGCATGATAGGAGATTAATTGGGTGAAGAATTATCACATAGGGGGAAGATAAAATCCTAGATCCGTTTTATATTGATATTTTCTCGTGTTTAATTGCTTTCTTAATTAGTTTAATTTATTTAGTTAATTAATTTGACAACCTTGCGTAGGCTGGATAAAAATCATAATTGTTAGAATTTGGTACTTAGGATTAAATAATTTGCGTATTCCCTGTGGGATCGACATCCGACTCTCACGAGTCTACTTTACTACTTGTTTGCGATACGTGCACTTGCGTGTGGGTATTTAGCACCCAACAGCAGGTTTTCTACGGCGGCGACACTAGTAGACAATTTTGGTTCTCTCATGTTTGCAGGTTTTTCTCGAGGAAGGAGGAGGGGTTGCAGATTTTTGCTCCTTTTCTTTTCTTTTTTTATTATTATTATTACTATTATTATTATTTGTTTTTTTTTTCTTTCTTTTTTATTTAGTTTGATGAATGTAGGGGAATAGACACTTTTGACCCTGCCAAACTCACGTGAATGGCATGTGGTGTAAGATTCCGGTCAAAATTGCATTTTTAAGGCACCGTGCAACAAAAAATTAAGTTTAGGTAAAAACGTGTAAAAAAAATTGTTTGGGGTAAAGTGCAAAACGGGTCATAATTTAGGGGGTAAACTGCTTTTTACTCTTTTGAAAATATATATGAGGAGGCCCAATGTTTTTTTCTCTCTTAAGCAAAAACCCAAATTCTTAACTTAATTAGGTAGACCCCCTTAGACAAATTGATATACCTGTTTTACCCTTATAGAATTTTTTTTAATCACCACGTTTGTACGCATTCTCTCTCCACTCCCGTGCAAACCCTAGTCTTCTCTTTCTCGATGTTTTCTCTCTCCTTAGGCAAACCGCCGCTCTGTTCCCCTCTTCTTCCGCCACTGTCATCGCCACCGTCAAATCGTCTCCCTCTTCCTCCACCACTGTATTGACGCCCTCGCCGCCGTCAAATCGTCGGATGAGATCCACTGTATTGACGCCCTCACCGGCGTCAAATCGTCGGATGAGATTTTTGTCGGAGTTCGGTGATTTTCATCTCTCTCGTAAGGAGTTTCGTTGTTGTTGCTTTTTCAATTATTGTATTTTTCTCTGTTGGTGTATGTTGGGTTGTTGTCTCCTTTTAGATGGTCTCTGTTAATATATATTTGCTGTTAAATGTGATTTATCACTTGTTAGTTGTAACAAGGTTCATCCCTGTTTTTGCCATGCCTTCATTTTTTTATGCGTTCGAAATTAGTTTATTTTAATGTTTTGGAAATTCAGGCACTGTAATAGACGAAATTGATGGATTTTTAGCCTCCTTGTGCGTGAAGAAGTGGAATGGCTGAATAAGTACCACTACAGATGCAGAGAAATTTTGGCTCCGTTTCTCGATACTTATGAGATGGAATGGCTCAAGAAAGCTACTGAACATGTTCTAATCACACCAAGCCCCAGTTCTATTTTCTTTATGTTTATTTATTTATTTATTTTACTATTACTTTTTTTAAATATGGATTTTCTTGTCTGATTTGCTTCTTGAACCAATGGGTTCTTTAATTTGCTTTAACAATGGTGTTTTTTTTGTCACAGGTATCAGTGTTTGAACAACTTCTATTCACTAAGTTTTTTTTCGAGAGGACATGGTGTTCGTCAATTCAAAATATCTTTTTGCAATTGATAAATCGGAGTTGTTGTCATATTGAAAAGTGGGATTTGAAACTATAGACTACAAACTACACTATATATGACTATACTCATGTAGTCACATGTGGTCATATACATATAGTCATAGATAGTCACATGTCGTCATATACATATAGTCTTATATAGTCGCATGTGGTCATATACATATAGTCATATATAGTCACATATGGTCATATACATACAGTCTTATATAGTCACATGTGGTCATATACTATATAGTCATATATAGTCACGTGCAATAAAATGTAGTAATATATAGTTATATGTAACTATTTTTTTTTATGTATAGTGATGTTGATAATTGTGTTTTTTTCAATCTTTTGCTCGGTACTAATTGATGATGATGATTTGTTCTTTGTTGAAAACATATGCATGTGATTGTGTATTTCGATCTATATTTGTACAAATTGATTTATAATATCAAGATTTAAACTGTGAGTTTTGTTGTTGGTGTCGATGAAGTTCTTTTTCGTATATAATTAGCGTTCTACATAATCGATCGATTATATTTAGCTACACATGACTATATATAACTTTGGGGTAAAAAGAAGGTAAATGACTATATATAACTACACGTGACTATAGAACATGTACTCTACTATAGTCATATATAGTCACTTTTTGTACAGGAAACTTATTAGAAATTATTTATAAAAAAAAAAAACTAAAAAAGAATTTAAAAAATAAAATTAAAAAAAAATTCTTTTAAAATTAAAAAAATTAAAAAAAATTAAAAAAATAAAAATTAAAAAAAAATTAAAAAAAATAAAAATAAAATAAAATAAAAATAAAATACACATTTATATTTTTTTATTAAAAAAATTTGTAATAATGATTAATGCAGGTCCAAATGCTAAATACAGTTTCCCATAATGTTAAATGCAGTTAGTGAAAATGCTGAATGCAGTTGGGCGAAAATTGCAAATAAGGGCACAATAGTACTTTTGCCTCTCTAGGGGGTATCTCAAAGAAAGATTTTTAGGTGTGGACCTATCCCTATATATTTTCCATTTGAGGGGTGTATATCAAATGGACCCTAAAAAATATATTATGGTAGGGGTGAGAAAGAGGAACCGAGGAATCGAGGAACCGAACCGAAAACCGAAAAAACCGAACCGAATTGCACCGAACCGAAGTATACACCGCATACTCGGTTTTCAGTTTTATGTGAACCGAAAAATTCGGTCTGTATTCGGTTTTTTAAGTTGGAAACTGAACCGAGGAACCGAACCGACACCAATACGACGTCGTTTTATTAAGTATATATACCTGTCTTTATATTTTTTTTACTTTTACATAGAACATAATGGAGAACGCACAATCACAGATTCACAGATACAAAAAATTATACCCGACTCCCAAACTGAACCCTAGCGCCGCTTCTCAAATTCTCCATCACCGGTGACTCGTCGCCCTTGAAATTCTCCTCCAAGGTTTCACTGTTCAAAAATCACGCAAAGGGTAAGTTGTTTTTCTTTTGTTCTTTATCTTTTATCTGTTTAATCAATTCGTCTACAAACTTTTTCTTTTATTTTGTTTTTTGCTAAATTTATTTTTGGGTTATTTCGTGTCTTACTCTTGCTGTTGAATTTTTTTGTTAACCATCAAATAGGATGTTGTTGAAAATTGAAAATTTGTTGAGATTTTAAATAATGGGAGAGATTTTAAATAATGAAAAATTGTACAGTAAGTTTGTTTCTTGAAATCTCGACTTGTTTTTTTTTTTTTTTTCTTTCACAATATCTGTTTTCCCACAGATTCTCTTTTTCCTTCAATAACATGTCATCCTCTTTTTTTTTTTTTTTGTGATCCCTTTTTTTTAACTTTTATGCAATAATTGTGTTTAATTTTATTTCTTATGTATATTGTGTAGAACTGTAGATGGAATTTGAGGATCAACTTGATGTGGACACTGTCCCTGAGAATAACGAAAACGAAACTTTGACCGAGGAACAAAATGACACTCAACAACAACAGGACACTGTAAATGAGGAACCAACTGGAAAAAAAGACGGTCGTCGAACTTCTTGGGTTTGGGATCATTTTCCTAATGTAAAGGGTACATTGACCACTCAAAGCCGTTATTGTAAAACGAAGATTAGATGTGATACAAGACAAAATGGGACTGCTGCTCTTAGTACCCATTTGAAACATCATTGTCGTACATCGCGTGTGTATGTGGGAAAGAGGGGCAAACCAGGGGTTGATAAAAAAAACAGTCAATCCTAAATTATAAGCCTAGCATGAAGGGGGATGATGCTTGTGGAGAGCTTACTACTCATACGTTTAGCCAAGAGAGATGCAGAGTGGCACTTGCTAGGATGTGCATCAAGGATAATAGGCCATTTAGTATCGTAGATGATGAAGGATTTAGAGAGTTTGTGCATGAGCTATGTCCTTTATTCAAACTTCCTTCTCGGTGGACTATAGCTAATGATTGTTTGAATATTTACCTAGATGAGGCCACCATTTTGAAGAAACAGTTGAAAAGGCAAATGTTATCTCTCCCCATCGATACATGGACATCGGTTCAAAACATCAATTATATGTGTCTACCGGCCATTGGATTGATGATAATTGGGTACTACGGAAAAAAATATTGAACTTTTGTCGCATTGAGCATGTTGGGTGCTAAATACCTAACACGCAAGTGCACGTATCGCAAACAAGTAGTAAAAGTGGACTCGTGAGAGTCGGATGTCGATCCCACAGGGAATACTCAAATTATCTAATCCTAAGTACCAAATTCTAACAATTATGATTTTTATCCAGCCTACGCAAATTTGTCAAATTAAATCAATTAAACAATTAAACTAATTATGAACGCAAATAAACACGAGAAAATATCAATAAAAACGGACCTATGATTTTATCTTCCCCCTATGCAAGAATTGCTCACCCAAAACCCCTCAATTATGAAATATATGATTCATGATTATTAACCCGAGACACTAATTTACTCATAACCCGCTGTCGCGTGTATTATGAGTCTATTATTCATAAACGGTTCACTATATGTCTATGCAAACAAATTATGAATAAAACATTAACTAACATGTCTCGTAAATGGCTACTACCTAAGGTGATATATGTATGTCTACGACACCACATGCAATTGACACACTCATCTGGTGAAAACTACTCGAAGGTTCTTATACTTACCGTCTAATTATCAAAATAGCTCTGTCGAGTCAATCCCAATAATCACAGATAAAGCACATAAATTGATCAAGTTCATGCACTAACAATCATAACAAGTATAAGAAATAATCATAAAATCATAATTGCATAATCTCAAGAAAACGGGTTCACCATCCCCACATAGGGTTCCAACAAAATCCTATATTAAAACTTAGCTACTCATGTTCTCTACGAAAAACATAATAAAAATATAAAAAGACATAGATTAAGAAGAGATAGAATAAAGAAGATTTGTGATGGAGATTTGTCAATTCTCCGTCTTCGATTCTTCGTTCTCTCGCTCCTCTTCCTCCAAGGTTGTATACAAAAAGTCCTTTAATTCGTGCTTGGTTTGCCCTTAAATAGATGTCACAACTTGGTAGATGATTCTAGGTTTCCTTGTGTGATTAAAAGTCCAAAATTGTCTCCAGCGTGTTTTGGCGCGGCCGCGCGAAAATCAGTGTAATTCTCACACGGCCGCACGAGAATCGCCGAAACCTTCTGCCCAACTTCTGCAGTTGGCATGGCCATGCCAAAAATAGGCTAAATTTGGCACGGCCGCGCGGGCACTTTTCAGCCAATTTTCAGCATATTTTGTTTTCTTCTGTTTTTGCCCGTTTTTGACCTTTTTTGGCTTGTTTCGTCCCTAGAACTTCCAAATCGTCAAGTTGTACCTAAAATACAATAAACCACTCATTAAGCATCATTAAATCAATAAAAGTATACAAAAATCCTCGTACGAAAGTATACATTGAGTGTAAAATATACGCTCAACAAAGCACGTTTTTACCGTGACGGTGGATAATGCTTCATCAAATGATGGGGCAATCAAATTCTTAAAAACCGTGCTTAGCGGACCTGATGCAGTCTTGGACTGTAGGTTTATGTATTTAAGATGTTGTGCCCATATCTTGAATCTTGTGGTGAGGGATGGATTAGAGGAACAACATGTCTCTGTTGTCAAAATCAGAAATGCGGTGAGATATGTCAGGTCTTCTCCTTCTGGAGAGGTAAAATTCAGAGAGTGTGTCGAGAGAGAAGATAGATTGTACAAAGAAAGTTTGTTTAGACGTCGAAACAAGGTGGAATTCTACATATCTGATGTTGGAAACTGCTGAGAAGTATGCCAATGCTTTTGACAGGCTTCGGTCACTGGATTACAACTTTAAGGTGTATTTTCAAGCTGATAATGATGAGGAGGAATCTAATACAAGGAAGCTAAAGAGGAAAAAAGATAGATTTTTGGGACCTCCAAGCGAGAATGATTGGGCGAAAGCACGACACTTTATTAAGTGTCTGAAGATTTTCTACGATGTGACTAGTCTTAGTTCAGATAAGGAAGATAGAGAAATGGCCGTCTCAATGAAAGCAAAATATGATAAGTACTGGGATAACATTGATAACATGAATCTTTTGTTGTATATAGCTGTGGTGTTGGATCCTCGCAATAAAATGAGTTATCTTGACTTTTGCTTGGGGCAAACTTACGGAGGAGATACTCAGAAATCCAAAGATATAAGTAAAAATGTTCGTTCACTTTTGAATGAATTATTTGATCACTACAAAAAGAAATTTGACAAGGCGAATGGTAAAGGATATTCTTCTTCTTCTAGTTGTGCTGTTTTTTATGATAAAAGTGGGGATATGAAATTTGATTTAGAATCAAGTTATTTGAAATTCTTGGAAGGTAAAGGAAATATCGAGAAATCAGAGGTTGAAGTGTACTTGTCTGATGGAATGGAAAAGATAGATGAAAAGTTTGATATTTTGAATTGGTGGAAAATGAATTCTTTAAAGTTTCCGATCCTGTCTCAAATTGCTCGACATGTATTAGCAATGCCGATATCTACTGTGGCATCAGAGTCGGCATTTAGTGTTGGCGGTAGGGTTATTGATCCATTTAGGAGTTCGCTCAGCCCTAAGACGGCTGAAGCTCTTATTTGCGCTCAAGATTGGATACGGTCTTCGCCGACGGACATTGAGCTCTCTGATGCAAAACCAAGAAGCATGGATGTAGGAGATTTGCAAGAAAAATTAGAAAAACTTGAGATAGGTACAAGTTTTTAAATACTATTATTTTCTATACTGATGTATTTTTATTTTATTTACAAGTCTTCTATATTCTAATTTCATTTATTATACTATTGTGCTTATTTTCTATACTGATGTATTTTTTTTTTTTTACTTATTCTGACTTTTAGAGGCATTTGCAAGTGGATCGAAGTTTTTCACCATGCCAGATTAATGTTTCTAAAATGGTAAAGTTGTTTATATAAATGTGATTTCTTTGTTGATGTTACTAACTACAAATACAATTATATGTATTATGTAGGTTGGTACAATGTCTATGGAGTCGGGCCTCGTGGGGGAGTTGGTGACTATGTCCCTCATTTTGCAGTCTTTTTTAGCTCTCGTAAACGAACTTTGGTAGATTTTTGCTATTGTTGGAAGAATATATTGTGGTATTGCTGTGTTTTTTTGTGTTTTCAGCTGATTTTTAAATAAATGTTGCTGATTTTTATCCGATTTTTGGCTCCTCATTTCGTCTACTGTTGGTTGGTAGATTTTTCGCTACTGTGGAATAATGTTTTGTGTGGTTTTGCTGTGGAATAAATGTTGCTGCTATTTTTTTTAATGAATGTTGTTGCTGGTCTTTTTTTTTTTTGTTGAAGCGTTGAATTTAATTTTTGTATATTTTTAGCTGAACTTAAATTGATTTTTGGGCCTATTTTGTGCCTAAGTTTGGGCTGATTTTTTTTATTTCTGAATTTTGAGGTGCTTATTGACATTTTTGGGCTGACTTTTGGGCCAAAATTAGCCCAAAACCGAACCGAAAACCGAACCTAGATTGAAACCGAACCGATAGTTTAATGAACCGAAAAGGAACCGAAACCGACAAAAAACCGAACCGAAACCGACAAAAAACCGAACCGAAACCGGTCGGAACCGAACCGCAGGAAACCGATCGGTTTGGTTTTTGGTTCTTTACGAACCGAACAATTCGGTTCCGGTTCCGGTTTGTGGCTAAAACCGCACCGAACCGAACCGTTCTCACCCCTATATTATGGAGAGTATTATAGACAAAAGAGATGGGGATGAGTTTATTTGGAAGACTATTTTTTGTCTGGAGCAATGTGATAAGGATGGCTTGAGGGATAAAATTATCTTATTTCTTGTTAATAATAACGTAAACTTAATCGCAAGGTGAAAGGGGGCAACTATTTTGAATACTAATTTTTGCTTAGTTGAATACTACCTAGTTGAAAACCACAATTGAGTACATATTTTTAAGTTTTTTCTTACTTTAATACCAAAATAAAAATAAAAGTACAAAAATACCCTTTCATACAAAATACTAATTACATCAATTTTTCTTTGAAATTACCTATTTGAAAACCAAATAAAAAAAAAGAAAAAAAAAATTCAAACACAAAAAACCTCCCTCCGTCCACCTCCCTCCGTCCACGCCGCCCGACGCCGCCGCCGCCGCTCCAACCATCGCCGCCGTCGGACGCCGACGCCAAACACCGCCGAACGCCGCCCAACGTCGCCCAAAGCCGCCGCCGTCGTCGTCTTTGAATAGTAAGTTATAGTTGTTTCGATTTTTTTTTCTTTAATATTTATTTAAGATTTGATTGTTTGATATGGGTAATTAGGATTTGGTTGTTTTAGGTTAGAATGATCGTTAATTAGTAATGGGTGCATCTGATTTCAGTCGATTTGAGCATTGATTTGAGATTCGTGGGTCGGTTCTTCGTTCACCATTTTCGACCTGTATATGTCGATTTTCGATGAATTTTCGACAGGTTGATGTCGAAAATTCATCCAAAATCGAAGTTGGTGATTCGAGCAACGAACCGGTCCTAGGTCCCGAGATACCGGAATTGTACACAAAATTTGATAAGCACATTGCTTATCATATTGTGAACGGAGGGCCAGATCGTTCGGAGCGCGGCTCAGAATTTCGAATACGAAATCACACAGGAACCTTGAAAGGTTGGGAGCCGGCGCCGTTTATTACAGAGGTAGTACAAAGATGTGGTTTAATGTCAGTTGTACAGGCATCGTACAACACTGTGGACGGCCATCTACTTAGAGCCTTCGTAGAGAGATGGCAGCCAGCTACCAACACATTTCACTTACCTGTTGGAGAGATGACCATCACACTTGACGATGTGAGTACGTTGGTCGGTTTGCCAGTTGTTGGGCGTACCGTATCTTGCGAGCGTTTGGTCCGTGATTCCAAAACCATTCCCAGTTCTTTGATGTTCGAGTTGCTAGGTGAGTACCCGGACGATGTAAACAAGAAGAAAGCGGTCAAGTTGGAATGGTTGAAGGCTAAATTTAGCAAAGTGACCATGAGAGATAGTGCGGAGAAGAGGACATACGCCATTCGGGCGTATTTGTTATTTTTGCTCGGGTGTACTATACTGTGCGACAAGACAGGCAACATGGTAAGCGTTGAGTACCTAAATCTTGTATCTGATTTGGATCGGATCGGCGAGTATGCTTGGGGCACTGCATGTCTTTGCCGGTTGTACGATGAGCTTTCCTCAGCCTCACAAAAATCAACGAACTCGATGGCTGGCTGGCTGACGCTCTTTCAGTCATGGATTTACGAGCACTTTCCTTATTTGGGGGGTGGCACATTGAAGACGGAATTCGAGGGGCCATTAGCGAGCCGATGGGAGCCTCAGTCAAAGACTACTTCAACGCCTGAACGAGCGTCGTACCTGCGATCTCGATTAGATGATTTGATCCCCGATCAGGTAACATACCAGTTTAATAATTTGTTATTACTACTTAAGTAGGTTTTTACATCTAATTTTTTATTTATTTTACTAGGTTTTATGGTCACCGTATACGGCTATTCGTGATCATTTCCCGATGCCAGATTCTGCTTGGTTTAGTCCTATTAATTCTCGAAATGCTGTAATCCGACCATCCATTTCTGCAGGCTTCCAACCATCAGCTTTAGGATCATGACATCGGTACCAATAATCGGCGATAGGAGGTATTGGACAATTCTTGTTCAAGACAACATGCACGAAGTGACAGTTGTCGACGAATGCCATACCGTGCTCTTGTCTCTCGCTGAAAAGCTTTGGATCGCTCAATAGGGGAAGGAACGTGAGACACTGATACTTGGATAAGTAGACAAGCACAATATTGTATGTTGAAGCAATTACATGACCCATATTTGGAAAAGACATCCAATGATCACGAGTTGCAGGAACATCCCAGTTACTCACAATAGCTTGCATGCTTCTAACGGTTTCTTCGCCACGGTGCATGGTCGTGTAAGTGGAAAAATTAGAAGTCAACTCCCGTAGCATGTCATCTCGCACTCGACCCCATTCATCTTCTCCAAATCCCATCATAGAGGCAACTGCCCGAAATCCACAGTGTCCATCTGAACCGACATTGATGATTTCTCGAACGTGCATACGAAATCGTGGATGGATCGTGTCAATGTACTTATTCTTGCCGATCAAACCTGGTGGCAATCCCACATCTGCATCTTCAAATAATGGTTTGACCGACTCTTGTGTCGGTATAGTGCTTTTTCCTGACTCTTGAGTTGGTATAGTGTTGAAAGAATCATTCGAATGCCCTCGTAATCTCATCAGTACAGGTATAAGCTGCAGTATATTACACTTCATTACTCAGCACAATTATAAAATACAACTTCAATGAAATGAGACGATAGTAGCGACATTTACCTTTGGAGAACAACTAGCTTGCTTCGATTTTTTTTTCTTTGGCTCCACATACTCAAAATGTGATTTGTCCCGAGTGCTTGATTTGTCTTTCCTACTTTTTGCCGGTCGACCTTTGCTAACAACTTTTTCACTTGGCTCCGTAAGGTTAGTATTCTCTGGGTGGGTAAAATGTCTCAAATGGTTGCGCAATCGAGTTTTTGCATCGAGATCGGCACATTCAAAGAGCTTCTAGTATTCCGATAATTCTTCGTCGATGGTTGGTAGGATGACTTGGCCTGTGGTCGCGACGGGCTCCATACTCATGTGTTTCCAATACGAGCCTATTAACTCAAGTGGGATAGGACATTTGTTCACAACAACATACTCATGAAGTTCATGGCGACATGGTAGACTGTGGGTTGTTCGGATGGCGCAACTACAACCCATATCGCTCGGTTGCAATAGTTTCGCATTGTCCACCTCAACTTTGATTAGTTGCAGAGCGTATTTTGAGATACTTCCACGAAGCTCATTGTATATCAACGTTTTGAAAGTGTGCTCGTAAGTATTTTTACTTACTTTAAAGGAAGCCTTGATGTCATTGTGTTGTTCGACAATTTGATTGTGGACTTTTGTATACAAATCCACAAATGTGCCAGTTGAATTACGCACATCCCTTTTCATTCGTCCGTGTGCCCCCTCCACCCTATTAGAAGTGTACGTTCCAAAATGAGTATACTTATTTGTCCACACCGATACAAGTCTCTCCTTGTACGGATCCAACCATGAATTAGCTACATACTCTATAGCCGGGAGATAACCCATAAATGTTCTTTTCAAATCCTCCCAATCCTCATTGAACTCCTCTATGGTATTTCTTTCAATAAGAGCCGAAAAACTCGACTGAAATTGCTTCCATTTGGTGATGTCCTTTGGGAACAATTTCTTACAATTGGCCACTATATTCTTGTTCACATGCCACCGACACAGCAAGTGATGACTCGATGGATACACATTGGCCACTGCTTTCATTAAACCCAAATCTCGATCTGTTACAATGCAATTAGGCCGAGGACAACTGGTCATGGCCTCCTTCAAACAACGCAACGCCCATTCAAAATTTTCCGTCTTTTCGTGGTCCAAGTAAGCAAAGGCAATTGAGAACGTCTTGTTGGTACAAGTAAAACCCACAATCTCAAGAAATGGGAGTCCGTAACGATTGGTCTTGTACGTGCAATCGATGACGAATACGTACGGATACGACTGTGCCAACTTAATGCATTTCGGGTGGATCCAAAACAAGTCGGTAATCGCATTCAACTCGTTCGATCTATGGTACGAGAGGTATTCATCTTCTTTCAACTTGACAAACAATGATTGCAATTGAGATCTCCCATCCAATTCACTGAAATTTAACTTAGAGATAGTATTGTAAACTGTCTTCATACCAGTTACATTAGACGGGTCCTTTTGCTTCAATGCTCTTAGAATTGCCCTTGGTTTCACCATTGCTTTCTTCATAGTGTGAACAAAGGAAACATCCTCCTTTGATAATCTTCCGGCATAAGAGTATCCGTGCAAGTTTTCGAATAAGTTGTGGTTGTGAATACCACAACTAACATCCAATTTCCACTCAGCCTTTTCATCATCCTTGTGTTCCCTTGTCCCCTTCAATTTAAACGGACAATTGCATTTCTTTGAACCGGTGCTCCTTTTTCCCGGTCTTTGATCATCTTCACCTGGTACCTTCTTGCCAACATAATGGCCCCCACGCTCACAACGAACAATCACATACGGTGTCCTACGTCCTCTATCCCCGTCACTCGAACCCCCAATCATTAACACCATTCCAATTCTTTTACATACTTCACGAACCCATGCCATTAAAGCTTCTTTTGTTGGGAATTTTTCTGACGTGGTAAATGAATGGGTGCAATCGATCTACACAAAAGTGTCGAAAATATAAGACAAGTAAATTTGCAACAGGAACAAAATCGACACTAAAGTGTCGAAAATTACCCATATTTTCGACACTTAAGTGTCGAAAATACATGGCGAGTTTTAAAAAAAAAAAATTTCAAAATCGATGTTTTAGCTCAAAAAATACATGAATACATACCTGAATGGGTTCTCCTTGCTCGTAAACTACCATTCTATTGTCATTTGAGGCCATTTTGCAAGTTGTGTAAGGTTTTGATTTCTTTTGTTTTGGGGTTTTTTAGGAGGGTTTTTGGGGAGGGAGAAGAAGGAGGTGGAGGAGGTGAGGGGTTTGTGAGTGAGGAGGGAAATGTTTTTTTTAGGTTTTTGATTATTTGGTTTTTAAGAAAGAAAAATAGTATTTGTAATATTTTTTGGTTTTAATTTTCATTAAGGGTATTAAAGTAATTTACAATTAATTATTTATTTTTTATTTTTTTGGTATTCAACTAAGCAAAAACTAGTATTCAAAATAGTTGTCCCCAAGGTGAAAGTCACAACCAAATTTAGGGACAATTATAAATAGGGACTATTAATGAAACCCTCTTCTAATATTTTTGTGACAAGGATTGGTCCAGCTATTTTTCACTTATTACTGATACACTCATCCCTTCACTATAATTTCTGAATTTTTTTTTTAGTTAAAAGGATCTTTTGGTGTTTCCAGGGTACAAAATACACACGCAGGCGCAAAATCCGCGCGTGTAACACACGATAAGGCTGCCGGGAATAGAGCTCAAATTCAGGCTAATAAGTAGAATAATATTCAGATGATACACCAAAAAGCACGACTATGAATTACCCAAACAATAGGAAATTTTCATAATTTGACCATACCTCAGGGGTTGGTTGTAATTTACCCTATATCATAAAATAAAGGACAAATTGAATAAATAGAGGCCAAATTGTAATTTATAATAAATTTCGGAAACTTAAATTAGAGGTTTGATTGCAATTTCCCGAAAAACGATTATTACACACCGTCTCTTCTCCAACACCGCCACATGGAACCTAAGGAAAAAAGTTTGCACCACAGAATCTGTTGAATCCGTATACATTTGGAAAACATGTAACGTCCTAATAATATTTCGACCGTACTAAGAATTCTTGTCCGCTCTGTAAAGCCGTCCCTTTATGTCGGATTGAAAATATTGACAATTAATTGGTATTAGATAATTTCAGATTTATGTTGCCCACTAATATTCATAGTCTTTTCAATTATTGAATTAATTGAAGTCCAATATAATTGAGTCTACATCCATGGCTACTTCAAACAATGGAAAAAGTTTCTTTTTACTTTTAAATAGAGTAAAAAGCAGTTTGCCCCCTAAATTATGGGTCGATTTGCACTTTACCCCCCAAACAAAAAAAATTTGCACGTTTTTACCTAAACTCGTTAATTCGTTGCACGGTGCCCCCTAAACTCAATTTTCCGGCAATTTTGACCGGAATGTTATATCATGTGCGATGCACGTGTGATTTGCGGGGGTAAATTTGTCTATTCACTAAAATTCTATATATTAAATATAAATTAATCATTAAAAAACAAAAAAAAAAAAAAAGAGAAAAAGAAAATTGTGATCTTCTTCCCCAACAACCTCCCAGACCCATTTCCATGCCAAAAGAACAGAGAGCAACGAACGGAGCAATTAAATCTCATCTCCATCCATAAAAATATTTTCAATCAATTCTACATAGAATAAAAAAATTTACAGAAATTGATTCTCATTCCTAATTTACTCATTCCTTCTTCGATTCCGCCGAGGGTGTCTTCGAACATCTCGTCAATCAAAATAATCTAGACTCCAAATTTTACTCATTCCTTCTTCGATTCCGCCGCCGCCGTTTTAACGGGCTCCTTCCCCGGCTTCACATCATTAGCCTCGTCTGCCGGCGCCGAAATGGAGTCGTTTCGCAACGGGATGGTGGGAGGTTGTGGGCTGGGGTTTGGGCGATAGGTCTCGTTGTCGGAGTTGGGTCCTGGGTTGCTTTGGTAGAATTGATTAGGGAAATTCCGACGGCGGAAGGAGTGGGAATTGGAGGCGGCGCAGAGGAGGAATTTGGGCTAAGCAAGATGGGAACAAGAATAATTTTTTTTACAGAAGTTGAGAATTAGAGAGAGAGAGAGAGAGAGAGAAAGAGATTTGGCAGATTAAAAAAATGAAAAATGAAAAGGAGAGATAAAAAAGAAAAAAGAAAAATTAAACTTTTAGTCAAGATGCGAGTGAATAGACAAATTTAACCCTATCAATTTCACATGTGGCGCGCGTGCACAGATTTCCGGCGAATTTTGCCGGAATATACCAC